GCTTTGGCTCACTATGTACTCGGTGCAGGGCCTGGCCTTGGGTTGACACTCAGCAAATGCTTGTTGAGGAATGGATGTGTACCAACCCCGCAGTGGCCTGGGGCGTGGGAGCAGGTGGGACCTGCTGTCAGTCAGACTGAGAATTTTGCATAGCTGAATTTTGCTCATGAGGCCTCCATCTGTAGAAACTGCCCCTCGGCACTATCCACTCCACACAAATTAGTCTAAATCCAGGTAGGAAGAGTGTATAAGCAGAATGCTATTTTTGTAACCAACTAGAAAAAGCTATAAATTTTTAATATCCTATTTGAATTCCAGCTCCTATTCACCAGTCATACTGCACGGAAAAGTGACCTTCTGCAGTTCCCTGAAGATGGCCTCACAAGGTCATGCTATCCTTGCTCAGAGCTCAGGGCTCCATGAGCCTCCAGTGTCAGTAGACGCCTCTCAACTTTCAGGAGAGAAAACAGTGCCAAGCAGGGCATGGATTGGGGCGGGGGAAGCCTGTGGGTGGAGTTCCGTTTTGTGTCTGTCAGGTTCAGGAGGGAGTTCTTCCTACTCACCACCTAGGCCAGGTAAGTGGATATTCTCCCCATGCACCTGCTCAATGTTCTGCTTGGGACTCTGCCTGCCTCTAGCCAGGGAGACAGAAGTACATGGCAGAGTTACCACTTATTTAAAAATAGATCTTTCTTGACATGTATGTAGCACTGAGTACTTAATTTGTGCCAGGCACAGTCCTAAGTGGTTTACTTGCATTATTATGTCTGATCTTCATTTAAATGAAGAGATTATTATCTTTATTTCATCAACAAGGAAGCCAAGGCTCATTGCTTGCCCAAGGTTACACTTTTGGCAGATTGCCTCAATGGCAGAGACAAGATTTGAACCCAGGTCTGTGTGAGTCCTAAGCCAGAGCACTTGCTTACTGCTCAGAGAAGATGAGCAAAGGGCAGAGATGGGACATGTGTTTGGAGATGGGTAGTACCGTGACCTTGTGAGGAAAGATGGTGTGAACCGAACAAGGCAAGATTGTTCAAAGCCTCCACAGGTTGGGGTGCATCTTGAGAGGATCTCCTGCAATCTTGTTTCCATTTCAAACCATGGGGGTGGGGTAAGGGTCTTTGCAGAGAGGGAGGCAGCAGTGTGGATATGTGTGCTCACACAGTTCAAATGGCACTTTATTTACTACTAGGGGCCCAGTGCACGAATTTGTGCACCTTGAACTGTGGGCTGCGAGGCTGCAGTGGGCACAGAGGCGGGTCTCGGCCCATCCTCTGCGCCCCTACCTAGCCCCTCCTGCTGCGGCCCCTGGTCTTCTGTCTGCTGGCAGCACCCACTGCTGCTTGCACCCACTGATGGTGCCAAGCGATTGGGGCCGGCGCCAGCAGCAGGTGCAAGTGGCGGCTGCTGCCCCAGTTGCCCCTCAGGAACAAGGGGAGGTGGAGAAGCCCTCAGGGATGATTGGGGCCGGCAGCCGCCACTTGCACCTGCTAATGGCGCCGAGCAATAGGGACTGGTGCTGGGCACTTGCAATGGGTGCGAGCAGTGGCTCCAGTGCCAGCAGCAGGTGTGATTGCCAGGCGGGATCGTGGCATGTGGGAGCAAAGAATTTTCAGTAACCACCGGAGGCTGGCCCCGATGACAGCAACAGGTGCCCCGCCTTGGTCTGGCACCCCTGCTCACTTGCTCCACCATCTCGCTGTGGTCGACACCTGCCATGTTTCGCGCTGCTCCCTGGTGTTCACGCACATCATAGCGACCTTCCGTCGTTCAGTCCATTTGCATATTAGGGTTTTATATAGGTAGATTTTTTTTTTAAAATCCTCACCCTAGAACATGCTCAGAGAAAGGAAGGGAGGGGGGGTGGGGGGGGGAGAGCCCACAACCCAGGTATGTGCCCTGACCGGGAATTAAACCAGCAACCTTTCGGTGTGCAGGACACGCTCCAACCAACTGAGCCATACTGGCCAGGCTCATCTGGCACTTCATGCTAACCCTGTGTAAGAGGCTTTAAAGCATACTCCCCCCCCCCCCCCCCATTTAATCTTGCAACAACTACAGGAGGTAGGTTCTGGTAAGTTTATCCTATAGAGAAGGAAAATCAGGTATAATAGGTCAAGTCACTTGATTGGAAACACAGAACAAGTAAGCTGAGGAGCTGGCATTTAAACCCAGACTTGTGCCCCTTCAGAGCATGCAAGTATAATCCAGGCAGTGGAGCTGCCATTGAGACACTTGCTCAGCCATGCTTGCAGACCAGGTGCCTAGATCTTGGCCTCAGCAGCAGCAGAACACCAATAAAGCTTGCCCTCTGGGAACTGCCCTCTTGCATCCTCTCAGCCGTGAGATGTGATTGGCCACTTTACTGCCCAACAGCATCTATCAGGCACATGCAAGATCAGAGGCTCAGCATCCCCTTCTCATTTCCTGCCCTAGCCCCGCCTGCTACTGCCCTTGGCTTTACAGGTCAGCTGAGTTCCACGTGTACTCGCTGCCCACCACTGAGACCAGCTGTGCTTTGGGCATTATACAAATATGTGAGATGTGAGGGGTAATTCCTACCCCATGGGAGTGTGCACATGTGCACGGAACCTCCGGTGAGATCCAGACGAGGAGGAGGCTGTCAGAGAGATGCTGAGGGCTGTGTACCAATGAGGGCTGGCAGGGCACAGGGAAAGTACTCTGTGGAGGAGGCAGGCAGGATTTCAGGAGAGGCACAGGGACGTATTGAGAACATTTTTTGAGCACCTGCTATGCGCTCTACAGGCATTGTCACCTTGAATCCTCACACTGGCTGTGACCCCAGTGCCATCTTCATCATCACGTTACAGATGAGGAAGCAGATGCTAGGATGGGTAACTTGCCCACATGAGAGGTGTAACCAGCATTCTAGCCCTGGTTTGTCTGAATTCAGAATTGTATAGGGCAACCGTGGGCAAACGGTTTGAAATGAATAAAACTAAAAAAAAAAAAAAGACCGTACCCTTTTATGTAATGATGTTTACTTTGAATTTATATTAGTTCACACAAACACTCCATCCATGCTTTCGTTCCGGCCCTCTGGTCCAGTTTAAGAACCCATTGTGGCCCTCGAGTCAAAAAGTTTGCCCACCCCTGGTATAGGGGCAGTGTGGGAAATTTGGTAGGGAAGGCAAATTCATACATTCCTTAATGAGAACCTGCTTGGTGGCCAGAGCTCAAAGTAGCTCACGGCTGTGGGAGGCAGGAGACAATGCATAATTGTTGAGAGATCAGACACAGAGGAGGGGACATCCAGGTCAGAATCTGGTCAGAGCAAGCAAGTTGGTGCAGGCACCCCCCGAGGAGCTGCCTTTCAGGCTGATTTGAGGAAAAGGCAGTTGCTGGCTAAGGTGAGGCAGGAACAAGGCAATGAGAACAGCCTCAAACAGGAAGGGGCTTTCTGTCTCCTAGGCGGAGGAATTCATAGTTGTAAGAGGCAGGCGGGGGAGTCCTGGGCCACCAGCAGTCCATCCCATCCTGTCCCATGCCCTCCCCTCCCTGCACTCAGGTTTGGAAGGAAACCTCTTGTGGTCCCCATTGTAGTACAGCATGTTAATTAGGCAGCTTCTTTGTCTGGGAATGACCCTGTGTTGAGTCTCTGAATGAGCAGGACTGGTGGCATTATCAGAACACATAGTGTTTGGCCAGAGGCTCCTTGGAAGCCCCTCACCCCCACGTGGCCTCTGCCTGTGCCTGTACCTGGGCACGGAGTGTGTGCTCTTGCACATTCCTGGCTGTCTGCCCACGTGCACACTGACCCCTGCAGAATGAAGAGGGTAGAGATTCCTATGAGAAACTGGGTGGGGCTTTTCCAAGACCCTGCTTTGGGAGGCTGAGTGGGCCGGTTTCCCAGAAGGAGTCTGGGCATGTCCACCTTAACTGGTGTGACATGCTTCCCTGGCGCTGACATCTGATAACATGCCCCAACCAGCAGGGGGCTGAGTGGCTGGCCACCACCAGAAGGCCAAGTGCCTTGTATTTGGGTGTTCTGTGTTCAGGTTTGGGCTTCTTGTCTATGGCCCTCTTTACCTGAAAACTCCCTTTCACCTTCCAGCATCCTCATGCCCACTGATCCTCAGAAACTTCCTCCTCAGAAACAGTTGTTTGACTGGGGAAGGAGGAGGCCTGCCTCCCACTTGCCTGGCATCCCTCTCTAAGATACATTGATCTTAAGATTTGGAAGGGTGGGATGTGGAATGTTCCCCAGGGAATAGAGGACATGTGGCCGATAGGAAAGCAAACTGTGAGGACGTGCACAGGGGAGGTGCTTGCTGGTAGGCCACTCAAAGCTCCCAAGGGACACTAACATAAGGAAACCTTGAATTTATAGGAGGCTTTACTTTTCCAGCTGTCTTCCTGTCCCAGGTCATCTCTGTGCCAGAGATGGGGAAGTGGCTGCCCAAGCTTCTACAGGGCAGGTGGGTGGAGGCAGTACTAGCTGGTGCTTGTGATCTGGCCAGTCCACTGGATGAATGAGGGCTGGCCGTGTCTGCCCAAGAGAACATAGCTCCACAGCAGCGGTCGCCAACCGGTAGTCTGCGGACCACTGGTGGTCCACGAGGTCCGAAAGGTTGGCGGCCGCTGCTCTACAGGAGCAGGGCCCCTGCCTCTTGTTTTCACACTTGGGCCTGGTACTTAGTCAGATAGGTTTGTGTGATTGAACAAGCAAACCACAGGTTGTGGCACCTCTGTCTGCTACCTGTGCTAGGCTTAGGATGTCTCGGAGAGGGCACTTGTTCCAAGGGTGGCAGACTTAGGTCCAATCTATGCTCTGCCACTTTTCACCTAGGTGTTTGTGCAGTGGGTCTGTTAATTACCCTGAGCCTCAGTTTCCTCAGATCAACCTGCTAAGTTGTTGTAATAATTAGAAACAGTATATATAAAGGGTGAAGCCCAGGACTATGGCCCAGCCCTTTTGCTAGAAGCCCCAACAGCCATGCTGACCCTCCTGGCCACTCTCTGCTTTGCTTCCCTAGACCTTCACAGCCTGGTGCAATTCCCACCTGCGGAAGGCTGGCACGCAGATCGAGAACATCGACGAGGACTTTCGAGATGGGCTCAAGCTCATGCTCCTCCTGGAGGTCATCTCAGGTGAGACTCCTCTCTCATGAAGCACACCCCACCTGGAACCGGGTACCTGTCACAGCAGGCCCCAGGACATGGCCCACCCCATCTGTCCTGTTGCTGCTGGGAAAAGTAGCAAGTTGCTATATGGCTGAAGTAGCAGTGTGTCTGAGCATAGGCCTTTGGGATGGGCCCAGAGTGCTGTGGCAGCCCGTTCTGTGGCAGCAATGGGACCCTAGAGCTTTTCTTTTTTTCTCTTCTTTCTCAGGTGAGCGGTTACCTAAGCCAGAGCGGGGCAAGATGAGAGTGCACAAAATCAACAATGTGAACAAAGCACTGGATTTCATTGCTAGCAAAGGAGTCAAGCTGGTCTCCATCGGGGCAGAAGGTGAGCTTGGATTGGGCAGCTCAGTTTCTGACCTCTGCCTCAGAAGTTGTGCTGATGGTAGAACACTGGGTGTGCTTAAAGCCCCGATATATCCTCAACAGTGACCACAGTGATTGCCTCAATGTGACATTGGGCCCACAAATTTCCCCTCCCCTCCCACAGAATAATCCAGTCCAAGACCGAGGAATCTAGTGCCCCTGATCACGCAGGGCAGGCTTCCTCTGCAGGGAGAGGAATGGCTTTGACTTGTACCCTGGGGACACTGACAGACAAGTGACATGGCATCTCTCTGTGCCAGGAGCACATTTGCCCTTAGGCCCTGCCTGGTATCTGTGGGCAGGAGGGGATGCAGAAGGTAGAAGGGCACTCGAGGCCCAGTGTCAGTGCACTGGGGCAGGGAGTGCAAGCCCAAAGGTCAATGACCAGACTTTGCTGGCTACGTGGCCTGGGAGAATTTGTCCTCTGACTGATTACCCAGGATCCTTCTATGCCCCATGGGGATTCTCAGGACTGTAACTTTCTACTTCAAGCCCTCCTACTAGAGCAACAACGTGCTGTCCCTCTAGCAGCGGGTTCTTGTCTTGTGGTCACAGGCACTTTTGGAGACTAGGTGAAGCCTGATGGAGTTCAGCTGCTCCCCATCAGCCTAGCCCTAAGTTCTCATTAGTCAGAGCAGTTTCCCTATGCACAACATCCATGTTGTCCCAGCATTTCAAAAAACAAAGAAAACTAATTGCCATTAGTGACAGTACTCTGAGAGTTTGGCCAAGACTCTAGGCTAGAGTGCCTGTAGAGAGTTCCAAGGCTTCCCCTGCCCCTGCTGCCCTGGGACCTCTCCAGAGAGGGGTGCCAAGCCTTAGATACCACAGTTGGAGTAGTTGGTGTTTGTTTAAAAAAAATCAAAGCCCAAAGATTTAATTAGGCCCTGAGATTTTCTGTCCTTGCATGGATCTTTCCTCCTGGCTGCACTCCAGTCTTCTGCTTCTCACAGCTGCATTTATTTTGCTCAAATTCTATTTTGTAAATACAGAAGGGGTTAGAGGAGAGGCCCGTGGCAGTCATCAGTTTTCATTTGGAGAAAAACTCAGGCTAAAAATGTTCTTTTTTCATGTCCAAATTAGTTCACTCCCAATTTTGTGACCCTCAGGCCTTAGACAAAGCTGTAGAGCAGCCTACTAGGGACATTCCGAGGGCTTTGGGATACCTGAGAACCCCAGCCCCCACACTGCCCTTATCTCCCTGTCCCTCTAAGGATCTACACAGTTGTAGGAACATGGCTTCCTTATGGGGGTTAGAAGAGGGAATGAGTTGGAGGCACAGCTGCAGTTCCGAGAAGCAGCTGGTGGAAGTGTAATGAGAAAAGCCATCTTCTTCCCCTCACAGGAACTCCCTAAGCCCTCCGTGACCAGCTTCCCCATGTAACCAGCTGGGGGTGGGAGCTGTGACCTCCTCTCCAGATTGCCCATCCCCCACCTCTGGGTATCTGGCACTTGGGAGGAATGCAGCTTAGATTTCCTGAATGAATGGCTGCCTTTGCTCCACACTGGGAAGCCTCTGCCTGGTTTCAGAGTCTGGGCTTCTTGGCCTGGGAAAGGGCCTGCAGACACTGTGTTCTTCCTCTGCCTCCAGGCTGCAGACTACACATATTTTCTTATCCTGAAACTAAAGCCAAAAGCTATCCTCAGCCATCAGCCCATGGCTTCAATTGGGGAGTTTCCCCACCATTGCCAATAGAGTCCCCACCCCTTTCTCTTGAGTGTGTCCTTGGGGAAGGTTGGGCCCCATCCTGTGGATGACCACGATACCCCCTTTTTAAATCAAGCCCATCCTAGAGTTTTCTGCTCTTGAGGATCCGTGAACAAGATCTCTTGAAGTGTCCTATTCTTCCCACCCTTTCTCCCTGCATCTTGTGTGCCAGGGTGTGTGGGGGCAGAGGACATTTAAAAGACTGCCAAAGGCACTTCTGGCTGATGGGCTCCTCCTGGATGAGGCCACTTGTACTTCTGTCACCCAGCAGTGGGCACATGGTACCCTGAGTGCTGCAGAGATGACTTTCTCTAAGTTGCTGAAGCTAAAGAATGTGTGGTCCAGACCCTTCTCTCTCACTCCCAGACGTTTCAGAGAGAAGTTGGTTTTTGGGTTCTGTGTCCCTACTTTCCTCTTCCTTCAACAACATCATATCTTTCTCAAGGGCCAGGGCCAAATGCTGGGGATGCAGTGGTCACAAAGGCAGACAGTGAACAAGTAAACCAACCAAGAAATACATGGTTCCAATTGGCAGTCAGTATGAGGGGAAGAGCAGGGTGGTGGGGAGAGGGGCCCTGGGATGGGTGCAGGGAGCACCTTTAGACGTGTTCAGGGAAGCCATTTTGAAGAGGTGACAATAAGCAGAGGCTGACAGGATAAGAAGGACTTACCATCTGCGAAAGGGGGTTGAGGGATGCATTTTTGTTGGTGGGTAGAAGGTGTGAGGTCCTTAAAGTAAAAAAGAGCCTGGCTTGCCAAAAGGACACAGCTAAAGAGTGCTGGGGAGGGAGAAGGGCAAAGTCACCCAGGGCAGACCTTGTAAGCTGGGCCTCAGAACACGGGCTTCGTTTGAGGTGTAGGTGAGTGACACAAATCGGATGCAATTTTTAAAGGGACAACCCTAGCTGCTGTGTGGAGGTGGATTGCAGGGGCTGGTGTAGGGCGCAGTGCATCAAGCTCTGGAGGAGACAACAGTGGCTTGGGCAAAGGTGGCAGCATTGGGCTTGGAAGGAAGTGGACAGGTTCTCAACAAACAGTAGTGCAACATGCACCTACTAGTGGGGAGACGTGCCCATAAAGCCTGGAGGTGTCAACAGAGGGCTGGGAGCAAGCTTCGAGGAGGAGCAGTCTTTTAAGCTGGGTCAAGGGAGCCCTGGCTGATTTTGCTCAATGGAAAGAGGGGCGGCCTGCCGACTGAAGGGTTCCAGGTTCGATTCCAGTCAAGGGCACATGCCTGGGTTTCGGGCTTGATCCCCGGTGGGGGGCATGCAGGAGGCAGCTAATCAATGATTCTCTCTCATCATTGATGTTTTTCTATCTCTCCCTCTCCCTTCCTCTCTGAAAGCAATAAAAATATATTAAAAAGAAAAAGAGAGAGAGAATGAGCTGGCGTGAGGGAAAGAGGCTTGCATGGCCAAGGACACATATGTTTAGAGGCTTTTGGACTGTGCTTCCCAAAGTGTTCAGGGGACATCTCCAGTGAGGGTGGTGGAGGGTAGGCCTGGGCAGCTAACTTTAAGTGGGTTGGGAAGGCTGCCCTGGGGATAGGGGGCTCTCAGTCTGGTTTAACAACCTTCTCGCCCTTTGCCCCCTCCCTGCACACAGAGATCGTGGATGGCAACGCAAAGATGACGCTGGGGATGATTTGGACCATCATCCTCAGGTTCGCCATCCAGGACATCTCGGTGGAAGGTAAGAGCCAAGAGTCCTACTGACAGCCAAAAACCACTTTCTCCCTACCCAGGTTCCACCTGAGTTGGGAGAGTTAGATTAGGATTTCGGGCATTTTGTCTTCATGCTTCAAGGCTCATCCCTGTTTCCCAGTGTCACTTACAGGGCCTGGCCATGTGCAGGAGTGGTTAGTGGAGATTCTGGCCCAGGCTGTAGGTGAAGGGATCCCCCTCGAAGCCACCCAACTCTGGTATCCACCCAGAGTACTTTGCTTTCACAGCCTCTGTCTCGGTGGACCCTCACATCACCCTCATGAAGATGGCATGATCAGCTCCAATTTACAGCCGAGGAATCTGAGTCATATAGACATTAGTCAGAGTCAGGCCTGGCCTGGTTCCCCTGAGCGTCAGCGCCTACCTGTTTCCACTCTCCGACTTTTGCCTCTGTGGATCTGGAATCAGTCCAGGCCATCACCAACTCTTCACTTTGTTCAAGGAGAGGCCAAGGCCAGGATCAAAGGCTTCTTTGATGATGTATCCTGGCAGTAAAAGGCACAGGCCTTGTGGTCTGAAACATGGCACAGGTTCAGACCTTGACATTATTCTGTCACTGCCATTTCCTGGGGTGACCCTGTGGGAGTTCCTTCTTGGGGCCATGTGTGCTGATCGGCGGTTAGGATCAGCAGAGGCCTGCCCATGTCTGGAATAGGAGGGGCTGTTGCTACCGTCACTGCTGCTGCTGCTCTGTCTGGTGGCCTGTCCCTCGGGTTCTGCTTGAACAAGAAGAATGGTTTTGTCTGAGCCAGAGCTCAGTGTCTTTGTGTGTTTTGCAGAGACCTCTGCCAAGGAAGGGCTCCTTCTCTGGTGCCAGAGAAAGACAGCTCCATACAAGAATGTCAATGTGCAGAACTTCCACATCAGGTGAGCGCCGGCAGCCCCGAAGCCCAACTCATTCCCTTGCTTCTTCCTGGGACCTGAGGCACTATCCTCCCACCTGCCTTCTTTTCCTGTGCTTTCCTCATGATCTGTCAGTTGCCAGCCCTCCAGGAGTCCCTTCCCCTGACACTGACTTCTGTGAGCTCCTTGTAAGGTCCCTGTGTCCTCTCCGAGGAGGGGGGGGGGGGGGCGGGGGCGCGGGGGGAGGAAGAGAGGTGGTGGTGGTGAGGTCGGCAGTGGCAGTTGCCTCACCGTCCTGGGCTGAAGGCTTTAAAGGCCGGTTCTATGGCCAGCCTTATGACTCTTCTTCCTCCACAAGCAAAGTGATTCTCTAAAGCAACAACAAAGCTCTTTTTTTTGGTTTTGACCTCTCAAGAGAAACCCATCCCTAGAGATGCTCGTGAATTGAGTGTTGGGGAAAACGTACTTTGTCCATTCTAGTGAACAAAACCCAGTCAGCCCAGTGATGAACCTGCTCTCCCTTGTGTGAGAAGGAAAGGAGACGTGTCCACAGTTGCCAGGACACAGGCAAACATGGTCAGCGTCACTTGAGATCCAGTATGACCGGAGGCAGGGTGGTCCTGAGGTCAGGTCCAGTTTGGCCCTGTGATTGCACCCTCTGAGCCTCTGGTGTCCTCCCAGGGTGGACGGACGAAGGAGGGAGCACACATAGGAATGAAGAATGGGGCCTCAGAGGATCCACAGATGTCTTCTGTGCCCCCAGTCTCTCCAGGGCCCCAGCATTAGAGGTTGGGGACCTTTCCATTGTACTCTGCTACTAATAGCAAACGGTCCTGCCCTTAAGCTCCTCTGTGTGTCTCCTTCCTTTTCCTGCCACCAACTCACTGGTCCTCTCTGTACTTCTTGTTCATTTATTTATTCAGCTAGAGGCCCGGTGCATGAATTCATGCACCAGTGGGGTCCCTCAGCCTGGCCAGCGGGATCAGGCTGAAACCAGTTCTCCCAACATCCCCCAAGGGGTCCCGGATTGCGAGAGGGCGCAGGCCAGGCCGAGGGACCCCATTGGAGCTGGGGAGGGACATGGGAGGTGGGCCAGCCAGGGAGGGACCACAGGAGGGCTCCAGGGCATGTCCAGCCCGTGTTGCTCAGTTGGACCCCAGCAGCAAGCTAACCTACCAGTCGGAGTGTCTGCCCCCTGGTGGTCAGTGCACGTCATAGCGAGCGGTTGAGCGGCCTTAGCATATCATTAGCATATTATACTTTGATTGAACGGACGACCAGATGACTGGACAGTTAGCATATTAGGCTTTTATTATATAGGACTGGTAAATAGCTATGCAATGCCTAGTATGTGCCGAGAGTGGGGATCCGGCAGGACCAGAATGAGTCCCTACCCTTGGAAAGTTACACTGCAGCAGAGGGGACCCCTAGCTGACAAAGGTGCAACTAAACCAACACAGTTTCAGGTAGTGAGAAGTGCTATATAAACTAGGACCACAAAATAGAGTGAGGTGATAGAAAGTAATTGGGAGAGTACCTTGGTCAGGAGTGGCCTTCCTGAGGAAGTGTCATTAAGCTTGACCCTAGAAGGAACCAGCCCTTAGAGGATCCCAGGAAGAAAAATGTGACCAGTCTAGCTTGTGACCAGTTGTCATTTTGCCTCGCAGAGGCCCTCATGCCAGCCACATCCTGGCATTTAGCCAGCCTGTGGGCCATGTCGGCCAGGGTGCGGAGGTCACACAGCACAGGCACCGGCCTTCCGCGGTAGGCCGTCTCCCCTCATTGGGCCTGTCCAATTCATTGGAGCCTTGCATGTACACATGTCAGGCCCTGGTCTAAGTGTTTCCATATTTACTTATTTAATCCTCATGACAACCCTCATGAAGTAGGCACTGTTATTATCCCCATTTTACAGACATGGAAACGGGTAGCAATTGTAGGACTTGCCCATAGTCACGCTAATAGTAAGTAGAAGAGCTGGGATTTGACCCTGTAACTCTCAGCTCCAGCAGTCAGGGTCATAGCCTCCCTGCCATACCATCTCCCGGCAGAGCCTGGCACACACACTAAACCACCTCAATAAATGGGAATTGATTGTTACTGTGGGAACCCGGGGCCTTTCTGAACTCCCATTACAGTGCGTGGACACCCTCATAACCTTGGCCTTTCCACCCCCAGCTGGAAGGACGGTCTTGCCTTTAATGCCCTGATCCACCGGCACAGGCCTGAGCTCATCGAGTATGACAAGCTGAGAAAGGTATGCATCTTGTGTTCCCCTCAACAGTCCACAGATAACCTGTGTCTGACCCTAACACTGGATCACATCCCCCAAGTCCATCTATCGCTGGTGTTCAAAGCTGGATTCTGTGATCAGATGGGCAGGCTGGAGAGCCTAATGCCAACTGTCACCAGACCCCCTGGCTCAGTTCTCACCTCCCTTGCTCCCCTCAGAGACTGTCCCCTTCTCCTTCCATGGGCATTGTAACCACCAGGGTTATTTTAGGGCCTGACCAACCATGTCTTCTAGCTCCCCTTCCTTAACTTCTGGATTCTGGAAGTATTCCCTCTCTGTCCATGGGGAGGAGGAGTAAGGCATTCCAAACCATCACTGCTGGCAGACATTTCCTGGCAGGGTCCTGTTCTACTTTGTCTGTACAAAGCGTGTGACCCTGTAAGCCCCAGGCCCTGCCCTAGGAGTTCCCCAGCCTTGTGGGGAAGGCAGGACAATGTATCCAGAGCAAGCCAGCCACATGAGGCCATGCACAGGTGCTCAGGCTGAATGGGGTGGGGAGGAGATAGGGCCCGACAATACTGCAGAGGAGAGGATGGCACACTTGGGCTGTCATGATTGGGAAGGGCCCGTGGAGGAGTGGCCAGCCTAGAGCCAGAGAGCAGGCATTCCAGGTGGAGGGGGCACGGGCCTCATTGAGCCCGTTCAAGCCACAGTGAGTAATGGAATTGGGCTCTAGCTGGAAAGCAGTAAAGACACATGAAGAAGGGTCCAAGTCAAGTGGGCTTTGATCCCATAGCAGTGGGAGACAGCATAAAGGGATGGTTCAGAGGGGTTGGAACGTAGAGATTCTCAATTTGCTTCCCCCAGCCCCCAACCCAGGGCTGTCTCAAGTCTGGCCAACTAACTATCAGGGGTTCAGGACAGGGAGCTTAATCTGGGGTCTGGATAGTTGAAAACTATAAGAAAAGAGCACATTTTTTCTGGAGAAAAGGTCCCTAGTTTGTCCAGCAGGATTTCCAGAGGTGTCCCTTTGGGTCGGAATTGACTATCCAGGTGGCCTCCTCACCCTGCCAGCAGCACAGGTGGCTGAGAACTGCCTAAAAAGTACCCTTTCCAGTCCTAACCCCTCCCCAGATCCCTTCCTTTTAGGCCGGCCATGGGTCCCTTTTGTTTCTGGATCCTGCCCCTGACTGAGTTCTTCCTCCTTTCCTCATTTCCCTCTCCCCAGGACGACCCAGTCACCAACCTGAACAATGCCTTTGAAGTGGCAGAGAAATACCTAGACATCCCCAAAATGTTGGATGCAGAGGGTACGTACATCCCTTTTGTTCAGTCAACACATTGTTTCGTGTGTGTCTTATGATAACTTCAGACAACTGGCAGAGCCAGTGAGAATGGCTGAGAATCTGGGTGAACCCGGGACAATGTGTCTCCAGGGGAACCAAAGCAGGAGCAGCCTGCGCAGGCCAGACATGCTCAGGGATAGAGCAGGGTGAGGAGTGGGGAAGGGGGAGCTTGAGGAGGATTGACTCTGGGGGCTGCCATAGCCCTGCCTGACCCAGTCCCACACCTGGGGGAAGGCAGGGAGCAAGGTGGCCAGGGAGGGCTCGCTCCTCTGAATAAGCAAGGCTTCTACCTACCCTGCCTGCTGTGGTTCGGAGTCCAGAGCCCACCCGTTTGGAGTGTTTTGTGTTTTCCTTTTCTGGCTTTTCTCCATTTCCCAGCCATGCACCACCCAGCCAGGATCCATGCCTCTGGCCTCTGGTGGCCCTTGGGGGTTGACTATCCAGAAGCCCCTTGAGACCATTCTCAGAGAGAGGAAGTGGCCTCATTTTAATCCAGTTCCCACAGCTGTGGCCTTTCTAAAGACCATGGGGATGGAGGGGCTGAGGGTGTGGCTAAGCCTGCCAGAGTCACCAGGGGTCACTGAATCAGCTCTAAGGGTCCTTCTCCTGGGATGTCTGTGGTCTTGGGAGCCTTTGGATCCTGGTGAGTGATCATCCCTTCCCCCCACCGCTACTTGGGCAGTTTAACCCTTGTCATTCACTTGCAGACATCGTGAACACGGCTCGGCCCGACGAGAAGGCCATAATGACCTATGTGTCCAGCTTCTACCATGCCTTTTCGGGAGCGCAGAAGGTACCGGGCAGGGCCAGGCAGGCCCACCTCGCTGCCACTGCCCAATGCCACTGCTGCCTCTCGCCTCCCATGCTCACCTCATTTCTCTTGCAGACGGCAGTGGCCTCTCCGACTAGAAGCCATACCCCAGCTCCTTGGCATTGCTGCCACCCTTTGCTCACACTGTCTATTGAGTGCCCAGTCTGTGCCAGGCTCTGTACTAGGCACTGAGAGTATAGTGGTGACAGTCAAGCAGGGTCTCTGCTTTCATGGAATTTCCATTCTAGTGGGTGAGGCAGACAACAGGCATATTCACAGATCAAGTAATTTCATGTGATAAGCACAGTAGAGAACATGGGACAGGGTGGTGGGACAGAGAAGCCCGAGGGCTGCTTTAGCTGGGGTCATCATGGGAAGCCTCCGGGGGGTGACATGAACAGCACTTGGAGTGATGAGCAGGAGCTGTCATGTGAAGATCTGTAGGAAAAGCATTCCAGGCAGAGGGTAGAGCAAGTGCAAAGGCTGTGAGGCAGAAATAAGCGTGGCTTATTCAAGGAATGGCTGGAGAAGAGTAAGTGAGGTGCAGGTGCAGAGCCAGGCTATATAGGACTACTGTAGTCTGAGATCAAGAATTTAGGTTTTAGCCCTAGCTGGTTTGGCTCAGTGGATAGATCATTGGCCTGCGGACTGAAGGGTCCCAGGTTCGATTCCAGCCAAGGGCACATGCCTGCAGGCTCGATCCCTAGTAGGGGCGTACAAGGAGGCAGCCGATCAATTATTCTCTCTCATTGATGTTTCTATCTCTTCTCCCTTCCTCTCTAAAATCAATAAAAATATATATATAAAAAAATAAAATCATTATTTAAAAAAAAATAATTTAGGTTTTATTCTAGGGCCCCAGGAAACTGTTAAGTGGTTTATGTTGAGGTGGCAGAAATGATCTTACATTTTCAGAAAGGTCAGTTAGGGTTTAACCCCTCCAGCCCCAATGGCTAGTGTCACAAATCCAGGCCTGGTTAGAAGAGGAATCCACCCCCTTCCCTCACCAAAACCTTAACAAAACGGCCCGCATCGCCAGAGCCAGGGTTTGGCTTCCAGTCCAGAGCAAGCGCTATTCCTCCTGCATGAGCCTAGGGCCCTGTCCCGGCTGCCCTCCCTGCATCTTTCACTCTCTCCTGCTTCTCTCTCTTTCTCTCTCTGCGCAGATATTGTAGGCACTCTGAGGCCAGATGAGAAAGCCATCATGACTTACGTGTCCTGCTTCTACCACGCTTTCTCGGGGGCTCAAAAGGTGAGCTGGGGTGGGAGCACACCTGGCTGCTGTGCCTAGAGGCTTGCCCTTGCCCTCCTCCCGTCCTCACCATCCATCTGTGGTTGGCCAGGCTGAGGACTGACCCAGTCAAGCAGGTTTATTGTGACCATGGGCTTCAGTGTCATCACTTAGCTGGCGCTGGTCCAGTGCTGATGCAACACAGATATTCTCTCTGTGAATACAGCCTGCCCAGGGAGATTGGTGGTAGCGTCCCAGTTTCTCAGAAATGGCAGTTGAGTCCCTGCATCACATTAAATTTAGCAGATCCGCAATTTGGACCCGTGCTCCTGACCACTTGGTTGCCCCTGCTTCTCTCTGTTCATGATCCACACTAGGCCACCTGCGTGGTGCACTGGCTGTGCCCTTTCACCGGGGAGAACTGGCTTTTCTGCCCCTCTCTGCGGCCCCTTCCCCCCCCAAATGGTCCAGGAAAGGCTCGGCCTGAACAGGTTAGACCAGGGGTGGGCAAACTTTTTGACTCGAGGGCCACAATGGGTTCTTAAACTGGACCGGAGGGCCGGAACAAAAGCATGGATGGAGTGTTTGTGTGAACTAATATAAATTCAAAGTAAACATCATTACATAAAAGGGTACGGTCTTTTTTTTTTTTAGTTTTATTCATTTCAAATGGGCCGGATCCGGCCCGCGGGCCTTAGTTTGCCCACGGCTGGGTTAGACTGTTCTCTGAGCCTACTCCTGCTGACCCAGCTCTCGGGGCCCCTTTCTCAAGCAGCCGTGCTGACACAGGCAGAGCAGTCACAGGTGTTCCCAGTGGCAGTTCTCCCTGAGCCTGGCTGATCTCATGCTGCCCCTGAGGAGAGAGTCCCACATGGAGGCCTGGGCACCTCTGTCCCCTTTGCTTGCCTCCTGTCTCTGGTTGTGGGCAGCTACTCCCAGTGACCTGAGTTTGTGTCACCAATTGCAAGTGGACAGGGAGGAGAAAAAGAAACTAGCTTTGGTTTATTGAGCACTTACTACATGCCAGACACAGACTCTTAGTCCCTACACACCCCTTAAGTTCAGAGTGGGTAGGGCGTCATAGGACATGGACTGTGTCTGCTGCCTCTTGTGGACTACCTTCAGAGTCCAGGTCAAGCAGGTGCTCCCTGTGCTAGTTTGCCCTGCCCGGGCTCTGCAACCTCTTAGCAGTATGACCTTGGATAGGTCATTTCACCTCAGTTCTCCCATCTGTAAAATGGGATTGTACTAGTACCTGTTTCACAGGGTTGTTCTGAGGATGAAATGACTGTTCCTGGTACGTGGTCAGGTAGTTGGAGCAGCCTTGTCCCTGCCCACTGTGGTTCTTCCCAGCCCTGTGCCAGAGAGCCATGTTCCTAGTCTCCTGCCACCTACCCTGCATGTGGTGGGAGCTTGTGTTTGGAGTGTTCTGTGGGAGAGCATAGGCAGGAGAGTGGAAGGGACCCCCACCTTAGTGGGAAGGCAGGGTGGGGCAGGGGTGGATAGCAGTGGAAGATTCATTGCCACAAACCCCAACTAATAGCATGTATGCCATTGGACTCCCTCCTGCGGGCCCCATGCCAGCCTCCCTGCCCACTACATTGCCCTTGCAAGAGTGCTTTCTCTTCTGCCCTGGCTACCCTCCTTTGCTTAGAGCTAAACTCCATGTAGTGGGGAACAGGAGACCTGGCGGGATTTGTGGGAGTGGACACTGACAGGAAGGCCCAGGTCAGAGCACTTGGCCATTTTGAGGCAGCCAAACTGCTCTTGTAAGGGAAGAAATAAAGGCCTGGCCCTTGGAGCTGCCGTTCACTAAGGCATTGTAGGATCCAGGCTTCTCTAGCCCAAGTTCGGGTTTCCCCAGCTTGTGTCTGCTTCTCAGGCCAGCCATAGAATACTTTTTATTATTGCTGCTGTCTTTTCCCTGTAGACTTAAGCACATCTCTCTCTTTTTGTTGAATTTATTGGGGTGACATTGGTTAATAAAATTATATAGGTTTCAGTTGCACAATTCTCTATTATATCATCTGTATATTGTATTGTGTGTTCACCAATCCCATCTCTTAAAAGAGTGCTCTCTAGGGTTCTTTTTGTTTTATAAATTCAAGCTGATCCCCAGGCTAAAGCATTTACTCCTTGTTCACTCATTCATTCATCAACCCGACTACCTAAGACACTGAACTCTGAGCTGGATGCCAGGAATTGGACAGTGTAACCGTGACCAGCAGCCCCCACCTTTGTGGGTCTGCACAGGAGAGGGTTTCAGCTTGGGGTACCATTGTCTCTTCCAAGTGAGCGGTCAGGGACTAACCTCCATGGCTGCCCTGAAAGCTGCAACCTTTGCTCTGCTTCTTGCACTTCCTTTGGGCCGGGTGTTCACTGGCCAAACCCTTGTGAACCTCATCTCTGAGGAGCACTGCCTGGAGCCATTGGCAAGTATCCTGCAGCATGATGCAGGGTGTGTGTGTGTGTGTGTGTGTGTGTGTGTTCGCACACCAACCTTGGCTGGTCCCCCACTCACCTGTCTGCTTGTCCCAGAAGCAGTGTGTGGAGGGAGAGGCCGGGCATCAGTGCCTGTAGTTAGCCAGGTCTGGAGCCATCCCCAAGCCTCTCTGTTTTCCTTCCCCACCACTCTGTAGACCCTCCTCACTATTTCTGTTCCTGTTCTGTTGCCGTTTCAACTCTTCCTCTTGGACCCTTTCTGTGCTTCCTGAAAGGTACCTGGTCTCTCCTCTCTTGTGTGGAACCCCTCCCCCTCCTCCACTCCTCGCATCTCCCCTCAGCAGGCCAACACAGGACAGTGTCCTGTAGTTCTGGGCAGAGTAGTCACTCTCCACCACTCCCTGCTCTGTGAACCCCTTGCTCCCTTCTGCCCTGTGGATGGTGACTTTGGCCCAATGAGCCATCAAGGGGAGGATTAGGAAGGGGCCTAGTGTGTTCTGCCTGTGCACTGACCACCAGGCTTCTCTGGGGGCACCAGCATCCCCACCCTTTACCCTACAGCTCTCTAGCACTCAGCCTTGCTGCAGCCTACCTTCCCACCCAAGGGGAGACTTCATCCAGGGTTTGACCTAGTGGAGGACCCCACCCAGCTTCACCCAACCCTCCTCTTTGTGGGCTACTAGGGAGTCTATTAACCCATTTCCTCCACTGTGGAGGGCTTTCCAACCCTTCTCAGCATCCCCGGGGTCCAGGCCAACAAAGCTGAGGGGCCTGACTATCTGGGTAGGGGCCTGAGCAGTAAGCTGTGCAGACACCAGCAAGGGCTGTCAGGAAACAGGCACTCAAGGTGCCGTCTTGCTGAAGCTGCACTTCTCTCCTTTCCTCCTTGGGGAGTTCCGTGTGGGCTGTGGATCAGCCAGCTTTCTAGGGACATGCCTGTCAGGGGGGAGGGTCCCTAGCCCCCAGGCAGCCCTGACTGTGTACTTCCCCTGTTCCAGGCTGAGACAGCCGCCAACCGGATCTGCAAGGTGCTGGCTGTCAATCAGGAAAATGAACACCTGATGGAAGATTACGAGAGGCTGGCCAGTGACGTAAGTGCCACTTACCCTACCCCCAGTGATACCACCAGAGCTGAAAGATTGGGTCACCTTTGTTACCCTTGACCAAAGGTCATGTGACACTTAGAGTGGACAGCAGGTATTGCAGTGAGACTTTTTAGAAAAGGTGGTAAGATTACAGGCTGTGGAGTTTGCCCAAGCCACTATGTGATGTGGCCTTTCAGGTCGGTTTCACATGGTTAAGCATCAAACTGATACATCAACATGCTAGCTGGCTCCAGGGGTCTGGAGTTTGGGTTCCAACACAGATAATCAAGGATAGAGTTTTGTGAACACTGCATTGCTTTAGAATCATCTAGGGAGCATTTTAAGAGTTAACATTCCCACACCCTCCCCATGGAGAGACAGACTCAGTAGGATAGAGAGACCGAGAGCTGATGTGGTGCTGGCCAGGACCGCGGTTGTCATGGCAGGTCCTGGGCAACAGCACTGCAGGCTGAGGATCTGCCCTCCCTATCACCCCCTTTCCCAAGTGAGGAGACTGAGGCCCAGGAAGGGTCAGGCACACGTCCACTGTCACACGGCTGGTAGGAGAGAGGGCTGGGGTTCAAACACAGGCAGCTCTGCTCCAGAGCCTGACCTGGAGCATCGGTTGGGATGGTGGGTGTCCAATAAATCTCTTCTGGATTCTGTCCTTTACTTGGAAAAATTTCCATATTTAAAAAAAATTAAAAAACATGTAAGCTTTCCAAGGGCAATAATTTGACTTCTCTTCTAGACCAGTGAGTGGTTCACAGACATTGAGCTTTCACAGACCAGGAAAATTCGGAAAAGATTTTGACAACTAACCTATGGTGGCTGACTTTTTATCTTGCCAAGTTAAGGGGATATTTATTAAAAAAAAAAAAAAAAAAAAAAAAAGCTACCTCTGTTATCACCATTATTTCTAACACCAGGAAAAGGTTAAAGGTTATATATTTTAGGATCCCAGCCCTTCCCAAGAAAGGGTGTTTGGCATCATGCATCAAGACGTAAACACAAGGATACCTTTATCCTTGCTTTTCTCATTTTGCCAGAAGTTGTCATTGGGAATCACTCCTCTGAGCATATCTACGCTGCATAATAACTGATTTTACTCTCCTGAGGTTGTTCTAGAATGTACAGTTTGTTTGCTTCTTTGTGGCCTGTCCTCACTCCATCAAAGATATGAGTAGCTCATAAAAATGCATGTCACCTTTTTAAATTTTACATTCTAATTTTTTATGTCCCAGGCCTTGGGCATGGCACTGGCTGCCCCTGAGAGAGCCAGGCCTGCTACAGGTCCTGCCCTTGAGGCGCTGACAGTCCGTGAATAGGGAAGCAGTGAGACCCTCTAAATGAGGGAGACCATCAAGGAGGGGCCCTGATTAGATCTGAGGAAAAGTAAGACCAAGAGCGTAGGCACGAACAGGAAGTAACCAGTGAACAGCACAGTGGTTCTGAGAGGGCACCCGTTCCCAGAATTCTCTGCCCTGGGATCCCAACGGGGGGCTGGAAAGCAGGGGTGATTCCCCAAGACAGAACCCTCGAAGATCTGGATGCCATGTGCCTGTGAGCCAGGGGTGGTCCCGCCACATGGCTGCCTGTGTGCCCACAGCTTCTGGAGTGGATCCGGCGCACCATCCCCTGGCTGGAGGACCGCGTGCCCCAGAAGACCATCCAGGAGATGCAGCAGAAGCTGGAGGACTTCCGAGACTACCGGCGAGTCCACAAGCCGCCCAAGGTGCAGGAGAAGTGCCAACTGGAGATCAACTTCAACACTCTGCAGACCAAGCTGCGCCTCAGCAACCGGCCCGCCTTCATGCCTTCTGAGGGCAGGATGGTCTCGGTAAGGGCAGGGGTTGGGGGCAGAGGGAGCCAGGACCCAGGAGTGCAGATTAGCCAGACAACCCCCAGTCTGATGTTTGGCCAGTATCGTCTTCCTTAACTAGAATGCACAGCCTTTCTGGTGCAGAGGTGGGTGGGGCTGCATTGACACTTTACCACCACCACTGTCACACCCCTCCCCTCATCACTCCCCAGATTTTTGTACCTATCCTCAAACCACACCAGTTTGTGTGGAATTGTTTGAGTTTGGAAACCCAGTCGGCCATAAATCTAGGACCACCACCAAGGGCTTGAGACCCCTTCTCAGGGTGGGACAGTATTCCCTGAATAGTCACCTTCGCCCCATCTGTGGCATTTATTCATTTTCATTTATGCATCTGATCCAGAAGAACTGATTGCACCTGCTATGTGTTGGGTCCTGTCTGGGTACACAGATATAACAAAGCAGGAGGTAGACATGATCAGCCCATTGCAGCATCCCTCAGGGAGGCATCGCCATCCTGGATGACCTACCCCTGTGATAGCCCTGCCCTCTGCTGCCCTGCAGGATATCAACAACTGCTGGCAGCACCTGGAGCAGGCCGAGAAGGGCTACGAAGAGTGGCTGCTGAATGAGATCCGCAGGCTAGAGCGGCTTGACCACCTCGCAGAGAAGTTCCGGCAGAAAGCCTCCATCCACGAGGCTTGGACCGATGGTATGGTCCTCCCAGCTCTCTTGTCACTTTCTCTCTCTCCCTCTCTCCCTCTCCCTCTCTCTCCCTCTCTCTCTCTCTCTCTCTCTCTCT